CCTCTTCAATAACATTTAGTAGTTGATGTCATATAAAATGGTTTCAGGCATTTCAGGCATTACTGAGTGGTTAGGGAGTCCGAGTTATCAGAATATTCTCCTTTATATCGAGTAGTTTGCGCTGGCATACCAAAGCAGTTAAACTACAATGTTGATATCACTATTTTATTGTACCTTGGCTATTTTATGTATAAAGAAAAAGGAATGGAAATGTCTAAAATTTGTTTGTAATCATGAGTAAATAAAACAAGCTTACGATAACAGCAGCGAGAAACATCAACAGTAGTAATATTTGACCACATTTCTGAACAGGTAGAAAGCAAGTTAACATTTTTCTTTCCAAAGTTCAGTTTCAAAGACCGACACTTCAAATATTGGCTTCAATAGTTGTCTATTATTTAATTATAATCAGTGACACATGATATCCAATTCATTACAAGATGATTTTCTTGCGAGCACCGTTTTTTGCAAGTGAATATTTCCATAACAATGCCATATAATGCAAACAGAGTTATTCAATACCGTACGGATTAAAACCGAAAATTTCCATAAGATTGTCACAAAATGCAGATAGAATTATTCAAAACCGTACGGATTAAATATTCCTTTAACCAGTAACATTTATTACCAACAATCCGTCAGTTTAAATTTATGCAAATCCTTAAATTTCCTCTGTCATGGAAACTTTCAAGCTATCAATATTTTTAGTAATCCCAAAGCACATTCATCAACTGCCAGTTCAGAGATCGGAAAATGAGAATTGAAAGGAGAGAAATATAAAAAAATAATTTGAATCGCACGAATTGAAAACTGTTTGAACCTTTGGTCGTTTAATTCCAACCAATCTGAAATAAAAAGCTTCCGTACGAGCATTCTGCCATTTCAAAAATTCTGTACTACGCGTTGTTCTTCACTACATCGATGGCATACATCATTTGGTTCAATCTTCTGCTATGTATCGCTTCAGTTCAAAATATTCCAGGTAAGAAATATTCATTCTATGCTCAACGGAAAGTCCACAGTAAGGGTATACTTTGCTAACACATGAAACGATCACAAAGTTCATTAAGCCAACAAAGTCACTCGGAGCAAAGAGTATTCCTCAGAAAACCTTAACATCTGCGACAATTTGAATTTAGCACTAATTGCTTCCGATACGGTCCCATATAACAGTGAGTGGGAAATACTAGTGGAGAATTACTGGATGTTAAGGACAATTACAATTAGTGGACAATTATTAGTAGTAAAGAATTATATAATGATATATCGTTTTATTCCTTTTTACTTTACTGCTTTCACTCCATTCCGCGAAGTTGAAAATGCAACCAGTAATTAATTTATGATCGAAACTGTTCTCGCCCATACCAAGGAATGCACAACTATCCGCTGTACGGGATTCCATCAGATGTAACATTAAGACTTGGTTTCTGTCGCAAATGTATGCAAAAAGTTGAATACTTTCGCGTATTTCACGTATTCTAAATTGTTTGGAATGTGAAGATTGTTTTATGGGATTGATATCTTCATGATCAGTTTCCTAACTGAGTCAGCTAATTACCGAATGCAGTGATTGCAAAACAAATTATAAACACAAATGTCATAACAGTTGTTTTTCAGATGTGAAAAAGTATGAGTGTCCACATGTCGACTGTAATACGACCATGGACGGCAGAGGCGAATATGGCAAACATTTCCAAACGCACGATAAACCATTTCGTTATTAATGCAAACTTCCCGGTTGTGGGAGAGAATTCCGCAATCCATCACCATTTTCTAAACACAAAAAATCCTGTCAATGCAAAACTCAGAGTAAAAAGTTCCTCAATTTTTAGGAATCACTGAGAAGACATTAAAAAAATTCTGCAGAGCTTCTCAGTTTTGCAAATTCGGCAAAGTTTTCAGCATTTATTTGTCTACCTGAAATGGATGCATGTGAAACTATGTTGACTAAATACCTATGACTGCAGAGGCACTTCCATTGGCACAACGAAGTGATGTATAACAAATGTTCATTTTGTGCCCAGCGGCACACATGCGGCACACCTTAGTAGACACACGGAACCATCACAATGTCGGTCGAAGTTCATTAGGTTAACAAGACCATTCGGTGCATGAGTATTTCTCAGGAAACGTTAACATCCATAGCAACTTATATTTAGCACTAGTTGTCTCAGATACGATTGCATATTACAGTGGATGGGAAATACTAATGGACAATAGAGAATTATATAATAACATATCATTTTAATCCCTTCCACTTTACTGCTTTTACTCATTTACATGAGGTCAAGGTATAAGATACAAAGGATCCGAATCCGAAGCTGATCTTATTTTAGCAAAAGTTTCAGAATTATCGTTTTGAATCCCAGAATATTCGTTTTATATATAAAAAAAAAAAAAAAACATATTTTTCAGAATTACCCTCATCCAATATTTTTTCGTTAGAGGCAACACTGAGAGCGAGCGTTTTGTTTTAAAAAAACACACGGTAAAAAAGTGAACAATATCGCGTAATTTAAGTTACCTTAAATGTGATTTAATAGGTCATTGATGCTAATGCGGCATTTTTCAAATTATATTCATCAATTAGCGTATAAAATGATATTTTTAAACACAAATGTCGTGACAGTTTTTCAGTTGAGCGAAAGCATAAATGTCGTTATTGTACCGCGACTATACGGATGGGAAAGGAATATTCAAAGCATCTTGAAACGCACAAGGAACAAGGTTTATATGAGTGCACTTGGCCCACATGTGGAAAGAAATGTCGTACCGCAACGGCACTTCGACAGCATTACGAGAAACATCAACCTAAACTTCTATGTGAAATCTGTGGCTCTTTCCTTCTTATAAGAAAGGACTAG